CGATCTTGGCTCCTTTCAACCTCCACCTCCTGGGTTCAAGCAATTCTCTTGTGTAGCTGGGACTATAGGAATACACCACCACGTCTGGCTAATTTTTGTATTTTTGTAGAGACAGGGTTTCACCATGTTTGCCAGGCTGGTTTCAAACTCCTGACTTCAAGTGAGCCACCTGCCTCAGCCTCCCAAAGTGCTAGAATTACAGGCTTGAGTTTCCGCCCCTGGCCTAGAGAATTGATAAGCTTTTTGAAAATTGCATTTTCTCTCTGGTTCTGGTGTATAGAAATACAATTGCTTTATATATATTACCTTTAAATCTAGCAACTCTGACAAACTCATTAATTCTAATAATGACCTTTAGGTTTAAAGGTACATGTTTAAATGTAAAGTTAGGAGACCAGTGGCACAGATTAGAGAATCTAGACACATCCTAGCATATATGGTCTCCTTATCTCTAACAAAGGTGGCATTGCAGTTAGGGAAGACAGTCTTCAGTGAATATTGCTCCATTAGTTAGATGTTGTTGTGGGTGAAAAAAATGAAACTTAACCTTACATAGTACACAAAAGTCAATTCCAGGTAGATTATAGACCTAAATCTAAAATAAAAGACAAAACAATAAAGCTTTTAGATAAATAGGAAAATGCCTTTATGACTTTAAGATAGGGAAAGATTCTTAAACAGGACACAAAAGGAAGGGATCGCTAAATTAGGCTAAATTAAAAATAAGATCTGTTCATTATATGTCACTTAAGAGTGGGAGAAGATATTTTCAATACATTTATCTAAATGATAGATAAAGGGCTTGTATTCAAATTAATATAAAGGATTTCTTATTTCACATTGCACGCCTGTATCAAAACATCTCATGTATCCCATAAATATATACACCTGTATACCCACAAAAAAAATTTTAAATAATTTTAAAAATTAAAAAATGAAAAACTATGTAAATACTATATTAAACATGTTTAATACTAAAAATTTATCTAAGCCTGTGAGAAAAAGACAGCCCAGTAGAACAATGAAAAGAGGCTTGAATAGGTACTTCACAAAGATCCTATCCAAAGGCCAAAAACATAGAAGAAGGTGCTTAACCTTCACACTGAGAAGAAAAACATAAGATAAAGGCACAATGAGATACCATTATGCACCCTCCATAATGGCTAAACAAAAGAGTTGGCAGAACCAAGTGTTGACAAGAATGTTCCAAGGTGGTGGGAGAATAAACACATAGAAGCACTTTGGAAAAACATTTGGCAGTACCTACTAAAGCTAAATATGCACGTACCCTGTGATCCACCAGTTCCTCTTCTGGGCATGTTCCCAATAGAAATTAATGCACATGTGCACCAGGAGAGGTATATGAGGCTATTCAGAGCAGCATTAATAGCAATTGTCTAAAAGTAGAAACAGCACAGAAGTCCGCAGTTGTAAGTAAACACATTGTAGGATATTCATAGCATGGAATGCTGTACATGCAGCTTCATGGATGAATATCCTAAACATACTGCGCCAGACAATAAATTCTGTATGATTCCTTTTATATAAAGTCTTAAAGACAGGCAGAATTAACTGATGCTCTTAAGGGAGGCATACTGAGATTGTTAAAGGTATCAAGAAAAACAAGGAAGTGATTACTATGAAAGGCAAAATAGTGATTAACTTGGAAGGTTGTGTGATACGTTTGCTTGTTCTTGGGTAGGGGCAATACTGTATTTATTTCTTTTTTTTTTTTTTTTTTTTTTTTTTTTGAGGCACAGTCTCACTCTGTCACCCAGGTTGGAGTGCAGCGGGTGCAATCTCGGCTCACTACAACCTCTACCTTCCAGATTCAAGCGATTCTTCTCCCTCAGCCTCCCAGGTAGCTGGGATTACAGGTGCACGCCACCATGCCCAGCTAATTTTTGTGTTTTTAGTAGAGACGGGGCTTCACCATTTTGGTCAGTCTGGTTTTGAACTTCTGACCTCGTGATCTGCCCGCCTCGGCATCCCAAAGTGTTGGGATTACAGGCATGAGCCACCACACCCAGCCAATACTGTATTTCTTAACCATGGTGATTGTTACATAGAAGTTTTATGATTCATTAAGCTGTATCTTTGTGTGTTATGTATTTTTTTCCAAAGGTTAAAAAAGAGAATACATATAGGATGATATTATAGTCACGTACCGCTTAACAATAGGGATACATTCTCAGGAATGCATTGTTAGGTGATTTGATCATTGCAAATATCATAGAGTGTCTCTACGCAAACATAGATGGCATAGCCTACTACACACCTAAGCTATACAGTGTACCCTATTGCTCCTAGGGTACAAATGTGTACAGCACATTACTGCACTAAATACTGGAGGCAGTGTTAATGCGAGGGTATTTGTATATGTAAACATAGAAAAGGTACAATAAAATATGGTATTATAATCTCCTGGACCACTGTTGGATGGTACCAGTTCGTGGCCTGTTAGGAACAGGGCTGCACAGCAGGAGCCAAGTGACAGACGAGAGAGCATTACCACCTGGGTCATCCCCAGTCAGATCAGCAGCGGCATTAGATTCTCGTAGGAGCACCAACCCTATTGTGAACTGCACATGCAGGAGATCTAGGTTGCACACTCCTTATGAGGATCTAACTAATGCCTGATGATCTGAGGGCAAACAGTTTCATTCTGAAACCACCTCCCCTCCCCACCATCCCCTGGTGCCTAAAAGGTTGAGGACTGCTGGTGTATGCAGTCCGTCATTGACAGAAACCATTATGCAAAGCATGATGATTTACAGTTTTTAAATTACACAGTACTTTTTTTTTATGGCCACATGCATATAAAAGTATAAAAACATGCTTGAGAAGGAATGCAGCACGTAAACTTAGATTTATGGTTATCTCTGGTGGCAAGGAAGGGAATGCAATTGGACTGGGGCCTTCATCTATGCCTATTTTGTTCCTTTTAAAAAGGAAAGTTGAGGCTGGGTGTGGTGGCTCATGCCTGTAACCCCATACACTTTGGGAGGCTGAGACAAGAGGATCGCTTGAGCACAGGAGTTTGAGACCAGCCTGGGCAACATGGGAAACCCTATCTTTACCAAAAAATTACAAAATTAGCCAGGCATGGTGGCACAAGCCGGTGGTCCCGGCTACTCAAGAGGCTGAGGTGGTAGAATTGCTTGAGCCCAGGAGTTTGAGGTTGCAGTGTGCCATGATCATGCCACTGCACTCCAGCCTGGGCAACAGCAAGACCCTATCTCAAAAAAATAATTAATAAATTGAAAACAAAAATGCCAGAATAGTAACATCTTAAATCTGGGTGAAGTGTGCATAGGGCCTGCTATGTTCAGTACATTTCTGCATGTGTGTTTCATATTTAAAAATAAGGATAACCTGAAAGGGTAAGGGAGCTGGAGATAAAAATTAGGTGTGTGATATAAGTGTTACACTTTATTTTTTTTTCCCGAAGGTACCTGAAGCTGTTCACTTTTCTGCCCCTTCCAGAAATTGATCATATCATGCAGCTGCATGTCAAAGAGCCAGAATGGCGGGGTCCTCAGAAACGACTGGCAGCAGAAGTAACAAAGCTTGTTCATGGACGAGAAGGACTGGACTCTGCTAAAAGGTAGTTATTTAGAATAATTAACACTTGATGGTTATTTAATGGCTGGACATGAGGAAAGTAGGAGGTATGCTGTTTTAGGGTTGTCTTGTCATTTATCACTGACAAGCATTGTCAGTATTTGACTTAGTGATTTAAGATAGCCTGTTTATTGGAAAGAAGGATTACCTTGAATTAAGTTTATGAATCATACCAGATAGATGTTTTAAAAGCTTATAGTCTAGAACTTGGACACTCTGTAATTGGTTAATGGGTATTAGAACCTGTATTTGAATAAGCAGTTACCTGATATGGCTCTTAAAATGTTTTTTTCAGATGTACACAAGCCCTTTATCACAGTAGCATAGATGCACTGGAGGACATGTCTGATCAAGAGTTAAAAGAGTTGTTTAAAGAAGCTCCATTTTCTGAATTAGTTCTTGATCCTGGAACAAGTGTTCTAGATACCTGCCGCAAAGCAAATGCCATTCCAGATGGTCCCCGAGGGTAAGATTATTTAACTTTTAGATTTACACTTAATTCACCATTAAATGTTGCAGTTCACAGCATGTGTTCCCAGAGAGGTTGTTTGCCTGATCATGCTTTAGTGGCATCTCCTCCTTAAAGGGGTTAGATTAGTCCAAGAATAAAGTATAACCTGAGAGTACTTATTGTTGAAAATACCTTACACTTTCTGTAAAACTGCAATACTCCTGTAGTTTCTTGTTAAGTATAACCCAGTCAGTCTTTCCTCCAACACTGCAAAAGTGCATTTGAGGGACACGTTTAGTAAATACACTGGCATCAGCGTACGGCTTAGGGATATGGTCACAATTTTAGAGGGTCGCAGAAACGGAGGCTGTATGTAGACAGATTAACACAGCCCCTCTCATACTCAGTCTGTATCCTCTTTATTTTCAGAAATGGAAAAGGTCACCTAAACTATCTACAGTAGTAGTTGAATTTCTGAAAATGAAATGAGCATATAATGGCTAAAACCTCAAGTACTTTTGTACCAACCTAGTAACTTTGTAAGACTATTGTAAACTATATAATAATCCCCTTGAGAATTGCATTTTTCTATTCAGGAATTGAATAGAATATTTTAATTCCTCAGTTATGAGGTATTAAGGGATAAATAAGGTGTTCCACAAAAAACCATTCAGCCTATAATTGATGCTTACCCATTTTAAAATGAACATCAAGGTGGAAGGAAAAGTGCTCGGTAGCCAGAAATCCCCAGGTGCCTCTTTTACAGGAGTTCACCCATAAGTCAAATGGTTATCAGCCCGTGGCAATGATTATGAATGACATTTGTTACATTATGGTTGCTGTTCTCTTTCAATTTTCTTGGATTATTTGCCTCTGTCCTAAAGAGTCCTAGACTCTTCTGCCTAAAGAAAGCACCCGTTATTGGCTGGACGCAGTGGCTCATGCCTGTATTCCCAGCACTAGGTGGGCGGATCATGAGGTCAGGAAATCGAGATTATCCTGGCCAACAGGGTGAAACCCTGTCTATACTAAAATACAAAAAATAATAATAATAATAAGGTGTGGTGACACGTGCCTGTAGTCCGAGCTACTCAGGAGGCTGAGGCAGGGGAGTCACTTGAACCCTAGAGGTGGAGGCTGCAGTGAGCCGAGATCATGCCACTCTACTCCAGCCTGGTGACAGAGCAAGACTCCGTCTCAAAAAAATAAATAAATAAAAACACCCATTATCTCCCTTTGCATCACCTGCCATTCCACCTTAGTGATTCCCTCATCTGCTGGTTTAATACACAGTGAATTTGAGGATGGTGTCATATACTTCCCTAATATAACCACTGAGACAAAGAACTTTCCTCACTGTGAAAGTAGATTTTATTTTCTTCTGAACTTTACCACAGTGTATTGGCCAATACTGGAAGCTTTACCACTGCTGGATACCACATCTGATTTAGCCAGGGTTTTAAGTAATGCTGATTATATATTTTTATAGCGTTGGTGCATTTAAACAAAACATAGAACATGATCTGGAAACTAGCAGTCTAAAATAATACTTCCTAGAAAAAAGGAATCTGTCCTTAAGTGGAAAATCTTTTTTTTTTAAGACCTTTTTTTTTAATTGCATTTTAGGTTTGGGGGTACATGTGAAGAACGTGCAAGATTGTTGCATAGGTACACACGTGGCAGTGTGATTTGCTGCATTTCTCCCCATCACCTATATATCTGGCATTTCTCCCCATGCTGTCTCTCCCCAACTCCCCACCCCCCACTGTCCCTCCCCTATTTCCCTCCGACCCCAGTGTGTAGTGCTCCCCTCCCTGTGTCCATGTGTTCTCGTTGTTCAACACCCGCCTATGAGTGAGAACATGCGGTGTTTTATTTTCTGTTCTTGTGTCAGTTTGCTAAGAATGATGGTTTCCAGGTTCATCCATGTTCCTACAAAGGACATGAACTCATTGTTTTTTGATGGCTGCATAATATTCCATGGTGTATATGTGCCACATTTTCCCTGTCTAATCTATCATCGATGGGCATTTGGGTTGGTTCCAGGTCTTTGCTATTGTAAACTGTGCTGCAGTGAACATTCGTGTGCACGTGTCCTTAT